TGAATCCCACCTCTATCACGTCTAACTACACCTGACCCTATTCAGCTGACTTTAGTTAGACAGCAACAGCAACAGCAACAGCAACTGTCCAGGTTGAACCAACACCATTTCACTGCTCTTAAAATACCTAAATATCAATGATTCTCCAGTTTTATTTTAGCTAGTTAAAGCCTGTTAAAGAAACATGATTACTGGGAAAGTTACCTAGCGACTAATCCTGTGGTCATATCATTTTTTGGTGGGGTCTTCATCTCTCCTTAAAGTGCTATCATATCAAATTCACTGTATTATTACAGTAAATCACACACAATGAATAAGCATACCTTACACATTTTAAGCAAAAACATTCCTTTCTTTGTTTGCATGATCTAATATGTTCAACATATTTTATTCCCGTTGGAGGATAAATAACAAAAGTTTTTAGGTCAGACTAACTGGATGTTTTTATAAGTGTTTATAAGCAGATATTTTCACATTGTCGGCAGAACTGGTTGCGTACCGACCAGTCCTTCTCTTTATATACAGTGATACAGCTACCACAATGATAATTATTAGCAGGGCTGCGGAAAGTAGCACACCGATAATGATGGTAGCCGTCCTCCATTGATTGTCCTCAGTGGGATTTGACGATGAAGAGGATGTAGAAGCAGAAGTAGATATTGCTGTCAACAGAAAATAAATAGAAAATGTATTAGTACATATCACCTAGATATCATTAAGATAATTAAACGTTAACCCCACAACGTTTATTTTGTTCCTGTGAAGATTGAGGTTCTCTCTATGCAGTACTTGCCTAATCTATATAATTCTGATTTCCTCCTGTATCAGGGGAGAAATTCATCTTATTAGCGCAACTGTGATTTTAAAACGGGTGTTATTATTCAGTACCAGCGAGTATCTACCCACAGATAGAAAGCTGTCTCTGTGCTGCCAGTGCCAGGAATGGTCATGCTGCCAGTACTAGGATTGCCTACATTGCCAATTCCACGGTTACTTAACCTGCCAATGCTACAGTTGCAGGTTATCCCACTGCTGGGCTTTCCATTTATCTCAAAGCTAGGGTTGATACCATAACCTATTCCATAATGTTTAATTCTGCCATTACCTGTGCTGCAAGCTGTTAATGTAAGCATTGGTTAGGCTGACAATGCCAATGTTACTAATGCTATACATGCCAGGTGGCATATGCTGACAATTACACTTGCCAGGATTATCTATGCTGTTGATGTCAGGGTTAGCTAAACGGACAATGCCAGGCATGCCCATAGAGCAGTATAAGGACTGCCACTGATGCCAGGGTTAGTATTAAGTTGCACTGACTTTATTCTAGAAGAACACAATTAAAATTTCATGGCTGTCTCTATCATTTTAGAGTGGGTAAAACTGAGGTCTGGTCAGCCACATGGCGCACTTACTCTGCACTGTAACTGCAATGTCTGATGATGGATACACAGTTTTCAATGCATCATTCAGAGTCGCCTTCAGGAGTGCTTCACCAACAGAAACTGTTGAATTCACTGTGACCATGGTGTAAGCATGTACACTTCCTTTGCGGAAACCCAGCACGACAATTTTTACAGTGATGTCCAGGATTGCAGTCATATTTCCTGCGACCTAAATAATGAGAAAATAGAGTCAAAATTAATTTGAATGTAATTAAAAAGTGTATTGCATTAAGTGGCAATGAATTACTATTTTAAATTATAGTTAAAAGAAAACCTGAGAAATGGTAAATCTAAACATTTTTTTTTTTCTTCAATATTTTCATTAATTGTATAAACCCCAATTTTTTTTATATATATATTTTTTTATTCTATTTAAATACCCCATTCATGCTCTTGCACTGTATATGCGACATTACAGGATAGCAGACAGAAATCTGATATTGCTACTCACAACGTTTTGGTGGCAAAACAAAAATGCATTGTTTTGTTTTTTCCAAACTCTGTGAATTATTGTTGTTACTGACCATGTGATCAAGTCTGACTTGTGTGGTTCAAACACAAGGGTAAGAAAAAGGATGAAGAGACACCAGCCTAGCTTGCAGTAATGAGTCTGCTAATTTCTAGATGTAACTGTCCCTACTCTCGATATAATGTGTCTAAAACTCCAGGTAGACAATGTTCAGATTGTTCATTCATATTAAACAAAGACGTGATAAATAAACGTTGATGTTTGACAACTACATTTCTTATAATGCTCAACCAGTCAGAAATAAATAAAGCCTGTCAGGGTGTCATACAAATGAAAGTTAACTATAATATGGTAATAATCTAAAGCAAGTGTGATTTTCCTAAATCTGCAATATTACTTTGAACCACAAGATGGCAGTGCTCTTATAAATGTATATCTAAAATGCTAGTGTAGTAACACTTTTCAACCATTACTGCCATTGAGAATATTATTAATATTACCAACACATCAAACAGGCTGCTAAATAAGAATAGAAATTCGAATGCTCTCCATTCTATGTTAAAACTCCATTTATATTTTACTATTTTTACATCACGTGTGGCGATGCATGTGAAATAATTGCTGCAGCAAAATGGCTAATTTGCAAATGCAGCTATAAAAATATAAAATCTCTTTATTTACAGAGCAAAAGGATTGGGGTGGAATTCCTATATTTATCTGAACTTTGTTCTTTTTTGATTTTGGAGCACTCTAATAGATAATAGTTGTATACTTAGAGTTGGTATGAATTGTATTTGTCTAATTATAAAATGCTGCTAACACACTCATGTGTTGTACCCCAAAACACAAAACAGTGGCAGAAGAAAATGTATATAAATAAGAGTGGAGCAGTGTGTTAAGAAGGTATAAACTATGTTTAAGCTGCTGATGTAAGTGTAAGAGTATTTTATCATCATATGGTGTTTTGTTTCCTTAAACTATTTTTATTGTGGATGTTGTAGTTGCATACATTTTGGGTCGGTATAAAACTGTGCTCCACAGCCTGTTATTTGAGCATCAAAATGCCTTTCACAAGGATTCGTGCCATGAATGTACAAGAATCAGTACTGTTACAAACGTTTGTTTGTTTATATGCATTACACATATATAAAACTACAATTTACTCACGTATTCTGTGAATTCCTTCGCATATTTTGTATAATTTTGGCTTGAAGTGTTTAACAGATCTGTTGTAAATGTTGCATCTTTAATCAATATGTCACAAGGAAATGCTTGTTTACCTGGAATACAATAAAATCAATTGTAATTATATTATATATACAAACAGAACACATAAATACTGCAATGGGATACCACACTTTCTAATTAAAGAACAAATATGTCAAGGTGGAAACATTTTGAAGGGTGGTCGATTGTCAAGACACCCCAGCTCCTTCAATTGGTTTCACGTAATTTAAAACACTTGTGAGGCTATATTTCTTTAGAAGATAATATTCTCAATTTAAGATATAGATTAAAAAGATATAGATTTAAAATTTTCAAATAATTTATGATTTCTTTATTTCACGCTGAAAAAACTCTTAAAAGGACTTGTCATACAGCAAACAAGAATTTAGAGAATACTATTATATAACAGCTGCCACTCCAATAAAAGATTGAGCCACTAGCTCATTATAACTAGTTATTATTACAATCATTGCACTGGGATATTTTGTTTTACAAAGTTTTGATTTAGTCAGCCGGCTTTAGTTGTGTAGAGTTGCCGCTATCTCGATGAAATATATGTTTTATGTCTATTAAAGTATCAATTTGTTTAAAGGTACAACAGTTTGTATTACTGAAGGAATCACATCTATTGTTACTTTTATTTTTGTCTTTATTTTTTACTTTCATTAGCGCCTCCTTGACATTGTAGTTTTATGTTATCTATGCGCCATAAACATAATATCTTGTTGACTGGCATATATTTTCTAAAAATAATAATTCAAAAATGGTTTCTACTCAGACTTACTTGCGCATATAAGATCTTTGGAGGGTGTACATGAGCTGGTTTGGGAACAGAAACTGCTGCTGTTGAAACATCCTGGTACAGAATCTACAAAACAAACAGCACCATTATTTGCCTAGATTGTTGACTGATATTTCACGTTTCTTCACAAAATAGCATTTCACTTTTTTTTCTCCTTAATTTTTTTTCTCTACTGAATACAATACAGATAAATGGGGTGGAGTTAAATGACTTTGTGAGCAAACTAAGGTCTTGATTTAATATTTCTGGATACACGTTCAAATGATTTAATTTTTTTTTATATTTTTGGCTAAACTGTAAACTATTTTTTTTTCTAAATATTAAAATATCCAAAAATATCTCATATATGTATAAAAAAAAAAAATATATATATATATATATATAACAAAATATCAAGATATTAAAATAGTAAATAATTTTAAAAGCTTTTTCAAAATTATTAAATTGCAATCTAAATTTAGTAAAACATCTAAAGTGCAGAACAAAAGAAATTGTTAAAGCCAACATATAAAACTGCTTTGATAAAAACTTCAACAAAAAACAACCAATTATATAGCATTCTTTTTATGAAGCAAAGATTTAACCTTTGAAAATACAGCAGTCCTAAAAATTTAACTAATACTACAATGTTAACTCCACCACTTGTACCCAATTTGGTCCTTAAGGCGCATCAATGGTTCAGCTTTTGTCAGTGTCACATGGGAATAGAATTGGACTGTCGATACGCCTTGAGGATTGTGTTGGGAACCACTGATCTAGACAATGGTGGTTATTTGCTGATCTACAACTCAATGTGCAATGTTGCTTGTCATTTTTTAATTATCTAGTCTTAATAGTTGTTAATTAGCTACTATAGATACCATAGAGGATGGACAAGTTTCCTTTTTCCTTTTTTGCATTTTTCTTGTTCCATATTGATGGTATTATCCTACCAAATTATAGTTTTTCAAATATCAATGCAAATCTTCCCAGACATAGGCTTGGTTGAAGGTAATGAGCAATAGTGATGTCGCGAACCGTTCGCGAACTTGCCGCGAAACGGTTCGCGGTGAACTCCGGTCAGCTGACACATCCCTGCCAATCTCCGGCAGACCCTCCCTCCCAGACCCTCCTACTTCCTAAACAGCATCCATGTTGAAGGCAGCTTCAACATGGATGCTGTCCAGGAGGTGGGAGGGTCTGGGAGGGAGGGTCTGCCGGAGATTGGCAGGGATGTGTCAGCTGACCGGAGTTCGCCACGAACGGTTCGTGGCGAACGGTTCGTGGCAAGTTCGCGAACGGTTCGCGACATCACTAATGAGCAATTCTTGAAATTGACATAGATCGTGCCCACTTAACTCCATCATTTATTGAACTTGCTTTGTATAGTAAAGCATCATATGAGTGATGGGAAACTGGAATTGTCATGGAAGAGTCCATTCAAATCAAACTAGTTATCTACAAAAATGTCTTGAACTTGGAACAGATTGGAAAACGATACATATAAAATATGGGTGTTTGTAACATAGGGTGATTTTAATCATGCAAATCTTTAATGTTATGTAGCATTTTTATGTAGTAAATATAGAACAGAGGACAAAGGATCACCACAATTCAATGCTTTCATTTTATTTGCTAGAAAAGAGAATGTGTTGTGAAATGCATTCATCTAACAAGACGTTATGTGGAAATCCCTGTGGAAACTGTAGGATATTGTAAAGTGTGATATTGACTTTGTTCCGCAATGTGAAAGCTTTGTGAAGGAATATGTGAAATACAATAAACTGGATAGACTTGAATGATTCTTTTGAATAATCAGTCATGCTGAGTGTCAGTATGTGTGAAATTTAGAGGTCTGTGACTTTCATGGGGGATGTTACCTTACGGAACTGATGGAGAAAATACAATTTGTTCTACACACTCAGAGACAAACAAAACAGCAATGACAATACATAGTAACAAGGAAATTGTTTTGTGAGACTAATTTATAGCAAGATAATAAATAAATAAATGAGAGTCTTTCATAATGCTATTTGCTCATCAACAAATACATAACTCCTGGAAAAACACTTTTAACTAACTATTTAAATGACTAAGCTAACTGCTTAAAGTATACCTATTACATTACACAGACACTTTTTTTTAAAATTAAAGTGGAAAAAATGATGTATAGGTTGTGCTAGTATAACTGGCAATTGTATAGATTTTTTGAAAAAAAAAAAAATCTGCAGTAAAGTGTGGTCTCTCCTTACCCAGAAGATTCGGTTCTCAGCATAATATATATGCCTACGACATAAAGATCTATAGTGAGTGTTGAGTGACACCAGATAGCAGGAGATCCCTTCTACCTTCTCCTATACCTATGGCAACCACCAGCAAGTCTTGCACTTGCTTGTGCAATGTATAAATTAAGTAACAGATCTCAGGGGATGCTGTATCTCTTGTGCGTTTGGATCTGTCCTGCCATTTTGTGTGGGATCAGTCTGATGTGCTAATGGCCTGGTTCTTTTTGTAATGGCACAAGATGAGCTAAAACCAACTTGAGATCTGTGCGGGGACCAACAGTATGGCAGGCTATGTGAGCTGTTGTCTATTCTCAGTATTCTCTTGCACCCTGTTTTTTGCTCTCCCTGGGTTTAAAGGATATTCTAGACGTGGATCCCTTGCTCACGGTGCCTAGAGGGATATTGGCTTTACCTCACTGATGATGCCTAACAAGGTTGAAACGATTGTCTGGGGTTGCTGTATCTCTCATGCAGAGAGAACCGGTCTGCGTTTTGGATCTTTCCTGCCATTTTGAGTGGGATCAGTTTGATGTGCAAATGGTTCTTATTGTAATGGCACAAGAGGAGCTAAAACCAGCTTGAGATCTGAGTGGGGACCAAGCGACGGGCAGGCTATATGAGCTTTTGTCCGTTCTCAATATTCTCTTGCACCCTGTTTTTTGCTCTCCCTAAGTAACAGATATCACTCCAGTCTGAAGATAATAAGCTGGCAATTAAGCCATTGAGTCAGCAGCATGGGGAGGATTTTAGGGCAAGGGTTCCTAAATATGTTTAATTCTATTGAAGGTAGGAGAAAAAGGAAAGAGATCTGGGTGAGTCTTACATTACTTGAACATCGGCAAAACTGCTCAGATTGCTGCTTTGTCACAACTGGAAAGGAGATTTGTATATCACTTATTGTCTCTGTTATATTCATTATGTAAATTACTTGTTGTCAAATATCCCTATTCAATAATTGTGCAGAGTTTGCTGGATCTAAATAAATGCTAATAATTATAATAATATGCCACTAATATCTCCAAAATAAAATAAAATAGGTCTTTGTCCTTATGATAAACTATATTTTTTATTCGTTGTGTTCAGATTCTACCCCAGGCCAAATGCAACACCCAGTTTCCATTAAATTGGACTAGGAATGTATTTATAAATACCCACGGAGATGATTTTTTCAGTTTATATTTTGGGTCCACCTGAGACAGTTTAAGGCTATTTCAAATAAAAGTAAATTTAGCTGAATGACCTTGAATACATGAACTGAGCAATTACTTTTTTTTTCTAAATAAACACAACATACAAACTTAAAAATAATGGAACATCAATCAGACCTTCAAAAATATAAGTCCAGTTTACCTTTAACCCCTTAAGGACACATGACATGTGTGACATGTCATGATTCCCTTTTATTCCAGAAGTTTACTCCTTAAGGGGTTAAAGGCCCTCACATGTTAAAATGAGTTACAGTCCAAGTTCAGAATCTGCTCTATTAATACAAGCTAGGGTATTTGTCTGCTAATCCAGAGATCTTTCCTTATTTGCTAAGTTGCGGCTTCTTTGAAAAAATGTAATTACGGTCGATGATGCAATATTTATAACACGTCTATACCAATTTCCATGTCCTCTGCTAATGCAAACACGTCAAAGAAAAATAGCCAAGCCATACAGGGCGGGTGATTACATATGATTTATACAATAGCCCATAAAACGTAAGCATTAAACTTGTTGATGCTATCCTGTATGCATGGCTTCCTCGATTCTACCACTTTTCAAGAAGAAATCCCCTTAAAGGGACTCTATAGTCACCAGTACCACTGCAGCTTAATGTAGTGTTTCTGGTATCTACAGCCTGTAGGATTTTCAATGTAAACCCTGCCTTTTCAGAGAAAATGCAGTTTTTATATTGCTACCGAGCAACACCTCTAGGCACAGCCACTAGAGATGCTTCCATGTTCAGGACTGCGCTGTGTACATGGAGAAACTCTGCACGGAGACACTGAATGCTCCACATTGAGATGTATTGATTCGTTGCATCTCTATAAGAAGATGCTGCCTGGTTTGTTTTGGGAATGCATTGGTTTGGCCGAGATCATCAAGATTGATGATCTCAGCCATGGAGGCTAAGCCAGGCAGGGCCTGCTGGCCTGGCATGGGGAAATAGGTGAGTAAAATAACCTTTTCTGCACGATCAGAGTGAGGACAGTCACCTAAAATGTCACATCAGGACTATAATGTGAGGAATACATGTTTGCATTCCTGACACTATAATGTTCCTTTAAGTTGCGTTATGGCTTATCTTTTTATCCATTAAGTCTATATTAAAGCATCACTGAACTAAACTTTTTTTTAAAATAGAATGTGACACTTTCATGGTAGCAAATAAATTTTTGCTGTTGCTAATTGAATAATGAAACTGTCCTGTAGCCCATGGAACAGCAAAGAGAGGGGGATGGGCCTCGATAAGGCCAGGAAGTAGGCATAAAACCCATGTCAATTAGGTCAGTGGGGGCGGGGTTTGTTAGGGATATAGGGGTTTGTTAGGGATATACATATTGGCCATTTTAGGTAGTGGCCATTTTAAATAACCTTCACTTACCTGCTTTTGTTTTTTTTTCTGGTTTCTTCACAGTGGTGGAGAATGGCCAAGTTAAATTTGGGGGGGTAGATGGATTAGGAAGTGGGGCATGGCTAAATTAGTATGGATTAGGCAGGAATGTATTACTTGGTTGGTAGGTTCAAGCTCGTTGTTGGCTCCAAACCTGGGGGTGTAGGGGTGTCTCGGTAGACCCCTATAGTTAATCAGTTTGTTATGGGGCTGATGGCACGGCTGTGTTATATGTCATGTTATTTATTTTGTTATATTTTGTTTTCTTGGGTCACTGCCAGGGGTAATTTATGTATGAGGGGATGGTGGTTTACATATGAGTATGGTTTTGTTGGCAATGACCCTATTTTGTTATATTTTCTTATAAGTTAATAAAGCTGTGTACAAATATTTCCCAATAAGAAAAGTCAGTGTCCTTGTATTTTTGGGGATGTGGGGGTAAGTATTATAACCTTGCAGGTCAACGACTGTGCACTTGTCATGTGTTTATTAAAATATATGCTATTTTTTTTAATTACCAGAAAATGATAGTTTGAAAGCAGACAGAAAATGAATGCAGTGACTGGTCTCTGCAAACTAAATTGGAAAGTAAATATCTGTCATAAAGAAACTCCCTGACTTAGAACTGACTGCCTTGCTGATTGGTTACAGGTTTGTGTATGATTAGTCAATCCGTGGGTGAAAGTCTTCAACCGAGAGGTGCAAAGTGAAATGTCCATTACATCAGTTGCCCATTGTAATTAAAAACAAATGAAAAGATTATTTAATAAACTGAAAATCTGGAGAATCGGCTGGAGGATTTTACATTTTAGGCAAGCTGAAAAAATGGTTGCAAGTCTACTAATTTTGTTTAAAATTTAAAATGTAATTCTTTAGTTCTCACTAATGTATTTCAAGAGTTTATTGATTATCTCTGTTTGCAACATAAAGGAACACCGTGATCACCATTTTGCCCCCTCATAGGAAATGTGTTATTCCCGCTACCCCTCACATATCCGATCTCTCTGACACCCAATTATATCTTCTCATTTCGTTGTTTAGAATTATGCATTTCGAGGGATTTAACTCCCTTCCAGAGTTAGGGAATCAGGGCATATCTAAGGTTATCACTTTGCTCTGTCAGTTGCACCTGTTACTGGATTTCTGATACACGACTGATCATAGCAGAGCAGCAGTCACATGTCAAACTAAGTAAATATTAAAGGAGGACAATGTTACTGTAAAACAATTTAAGTAAAATACATTTGCCCGAGTAAATGTCTCCAGTTATTTAGACCCAGTTGTATACTGTATGTTTTGGGCAGTACTCACCAATGCATTGTCGTCCAGGATTGGTTGTATTGCTATCAGCATACCCGGGG